ATTATGCATTTTGTTTTCATTTTCTTAGTTGTTCTTTCTTAATTTTCCACCATAATTTCAAAAAGGTACATGGATATGTCTATACTAACGCTTTCCTAACTGATAGACAAAGAGTGTATTCTCAGTTCCAGTGCACGGTTGTTCTCCACATGTTAGATCGCATGGTTCGTATTTTGTGGTAAAACATTGTCTGGTCGGCCCATCTCTGCTGTATGTTTCCAGACCACCGTCTCCAGAATTACACTCAGCTAGTCAGCAATGGAGGGAAAAACGAAAACGATTCGAATTTGCAACTTTTATTATATTTTTTAGGAGTACTATGCTTTAATTATAATTTTCTTACGTTAGGTGGAGTTAGCATTAAATTGGCAAGCCAAATAAATGATACACTTTCTTTCACTTCTGCTATAACTTACTAGGTTTGGAATGAGGCCGTGAATATTTACCATTATCTGACAAGTTTGGCTACTTTGTTTCAATTGTGCCTTCTTCACTTAGCAGTTTTAAATCATTCAACCTCATTCTATACGATTATTTCCTAAAAACTGATATCATATTAATTTCTGTACTTTTGTAACTGAGTTTTATGAATTAAATTTATTTAAGGTTTAAAAAAAGTTTTCCATTCTCCAGAAATACCTCATCATCAAACATCGTTTTACTGTGGTGTGGATGAAGAGAAAAATAGGGAGAAAATCGATAGTAATGATTAGTAATGTCACTTAAAACAAGAGGTAACTGAATGAGTGTATTAGTACCGAAATTCTCTATGCCAAACACTTGGTAACCCAATTTCTTGCTTTGTGATGCACAGCGTTGTATTAAATCATCAAGATAGAGTCGATTAAAATTCTTTCGAATATATTTTTTGCCACTGTAACGCGGAGAGGTCTCGTTACGATCCGTAAATAACAGTTCCGCAAGAGGTCTTACTTCTTGCCAGTTGTCCCTGTAACAACCCAACTTATTGTACTCAATACCTGCCGACACAAGGAAAAAATAATGATATATTAATTTGATATAACATTTTGCATTCGCATGCTAACATTCCTCACGCTATCAGGCGGTGTGCGCACTCCGATTGCTTTGCATTGTGGTAGCTTCATTTTCAATATGGCGGTGAAAGCGGCAGAAATCGGCAGATTTTGACTGAACATTCTGTAAAAGTTAGGCCGCTCCTTTTTCCTTTCACCGTAGGTAAATATAACCTGATTTATTCTGAACGTGTAAAAGTATTTTTTTTGTACGTATTTGTCGCGTATTCTATGGTTCTCAAGGACAAACGCAATCACTGTTTTTTAGTATGTAATTTGAGACCAGTTTTCGAGAAGGTCAAATTTGATGTACGTCGTAGTTTGGAGCCTTTCAAAGATTTGGATGGCCGCTTTGATCCTTCTTCAACAGCTCTGACTAAACGCTCTCAAACGCTCTCCAACGGTACATATGTTTCGCGCATTTTAAGTGCTAGTGTTTGAGATCGATTATGACCAAGAAAAGGCCTATTGTTGCGTTACACAGCGTTACTATTGTATACTTAATTGTGTCGTAAATCTACTTTCCTAAGTAAAAGCAAATTAACTAATCGCGAGTGTTGTATGGTAAATCTACTATCTTGATCATTGAATGAAGGACAGTTGAATTAGAGCAATTAAAGAAGTCACTTGACCACTGAATAACTCTACAGTGCACGCGGCGACACGCCGGGTAAGCCGGAAAGCAAAATGCAGTCGATCGTGAAAAGGTGTTGATAGACTTGTGAGACTCCTGCCATTCGCTTGCGCTTTTAAATCTTCTGACCTGAAAACTTAGCTGTTATTAAGATATCTTTTAATTACTTTCCTTTGCGATGTGATAATAAGGGTTAGTTTTAAGGTGTAATTTCCCTGTCTGTATGTTCTTGAGGTTTGGCAAGGCCGAATGAGATTGTTACAAAAGGTAATATTTTCATGTGTGCGCGCTGTTTTCTTTGTTTTCAAGTATACTGTCTCTACCGCAGACGATAGAGATACGGTTTTCAAAACCGTGTTTTAAGTATTCTCTATTCTTTTAAGCATATTTGAAAATCTGTATGTTTTTTTATTAAAGGTTGAGCGTGACGAATTTGGTCTTGGAAGGCGTAACGCTTCTCCTTTTGCGAATCCCATATTTACGCCTTTAAGTGTATGACATGAAAAATAATTCGTGTATAAGAAGGTAGCTGTCTCTTTGTTATGAGTTTGCATGTCAAGGGTTGATTCCCTGTTAAATTACTCGCGAATATGATATTATTCACACAGCCATCGGCTGTGAGTGTAACTGCTGCCAAATGAATAGATTCTTGGGCAAGTCTGCAGTTTCGATTCTTTCTGAATCTTTTCAGTTGCCTCCTAACAACGAATTTTTCACGGAGGAATAACAGAAGTCGCGCAGGCCTGCCAACACTTTTTAACTTTCGAAGGAATGGCAACAGGCAGTGAATCCCCATTACATTCCACGTTTATTCGCGCTATCTTGCTGCCACCAGAGATGTTCACTCGACCGCGACAGGATGTAAATGACTCACTTTTCGTTTTACAACCATGATGCAACGTAATCAGAGTGCGCACACCGCCTGTCACGCTATTAATTGATGTTATTAATGCTAATACTTCTTCCTGGCGGAAGCCACTTTCCCTTCGTGTAACAGCACAGAATCCCGCAATCCCGTATCGATTTCAAGCATATTAAAAAAAAAAATATATATATATATATATAAAGAATAGAAAGTTCTTATACTGGTTATTTTAGGAAATATTTTAGCAGAGAAGTAAGGTTAGTAATTCTGTAGAATACGATGGTGTCACTGGAAGCCAATCATATTGATAAATGTTAGCTTTTATTGGAAATCATAGCCAATACTTATTGTGAAATGAAACCGATGTGTAGACAGAGAAGTGAAAGTATTGTGAAAAGGAAAAATCTGCTGCAGTTAAAAAAAAAAGAAAAAACCATATTTACCCTCGACATAAAAGGAGGTAATGACGCAAACAAGCTCTATAACCGCCCAAGTAGGTGCCCAGTGGACGCTGCTCATTCCTTCATACGACTGCCGGTAGGCTAGTATCCCTTCTAAACTTAAAAGCAAAAAAGTAAGCAAAATTCAAGATCCTGGTACCCATACTAGCTAAATGCTGAGTATTTGAGGGATGAATATCGGCCATCATTCGAGTAAAAGCAACTGCGAATTTAGGAACGAGTCGTTTTTTTTTCTTTTGTAATCACTTAATTTTTTTCACGACAAAAGATAAAAGGTGACAACAATTACGTATTCTAGAAATTGCTTTTTTTTAGTATAATAGACTCTTGCACATTATGTTTCATATTTAACCTGGTCATACAGTCAATATAGCACCAACCTTCTAATAGCTTACACTGACGACTTTGTCTTCTCTTGATAAGGCAGAATCATTACTATCAAATGATCAGTTTCTTAACCATGAACACACTTCAGAGAAATGAGGCCTCATACGTCATATAGTATTTCCTTGAACAAAATGAAGTCAACCAGCTTGGGATAGGCGTTCCCGCTGCCGAAAGGTCTTGATTACGTACCAAATGCTGGAGCGCAAAATTGTTTACTTAGGAAAGAACGTTATCAAAAAGACAACTTCGTTGCTTCTGAGAACCTAAAATCTGTCTTACTATAAAGATTTGCTCCATTTCATGACACACTCATTCACTTACTTCAAAACATCATCCTCCGTCACATGTGCAAGTCACGAAAGAATATGGCAACTGGCGGCAGTGAAATTATAGAATATATTTTATACCACGTATGATCGCGAATATATTCTCCGCATGTTTTCCGACGGAACCATTGATTTTCGGACTCGTGGTTAGAATTGTCCTCTGAGATGGGAAACATGACAAAAGCTGTTGTTTGATTTGGTCGCTGGAAGGCTAGCCGTGAAGCTCTGCGTGAACCTGGAGCTTACAGAACGCGCACCACACATGTTGTCTCTTGTCAAACCAACCTAAATGTAAACGGACGGGTGCCGGAATTCCTAAGATCTCTCATGTGGAAACAAAAAAACATTTAGCAAGGGGTAAAAACATGCAACGAGAGTTCATGGAAGTCGATATTTTTTATGGGGGTTTTAATCGAAGTTGGTTGGAAACTGTGTGTTAATGTCTGTTTGTGCAGTTGGAATCTCTGGAATAGCGCAATAACGCAGGTTGAATTAAGATATTGATTTGTAACTTGTTTCCGGACAGAACAAAGCATTTGTCTTTTCTGAGATAAAGAATAGACATGATTGGTTGAATGACCGCTCTTTTGCAATTTCATAAAAAACCAACTGGTTGTGCGCGAAAATCTAACTTTAATTTCAATTAAGATATTTTGATCAAATTATCGCTTCCAAAGTGAATGTGAAATGAAGGGTAATGAAATGAATTAATTGCTTTAAACGCTCTGTTGAGTCTAAAGTTTATAACTGGTATATAATCGAGCAAATATTGTTCCGCGTCTGACGCCGACAAACTGATTTTCGAAATGCACTAGCTCCCAGGGTCTTTGGGTGCCGATAAATGGAGAGATGTTATGTGGCTTATCTATCTAGGGACATACCGCTAAACCAAGTCAGTATAAGCTTAATCTTTCTAGCGCAGTATAATTCTGGCTAAAATGTTGAAACGCCTGGGCAGACTCAGAATTTTGTTTTCTCTCCTAATCTAAACAAGGAATATCAATGAACCTCGTTATTTCGGTTTACAATTTGTTACCTTGCAAACAAACAAAAGGAAAGTTAAACAGTCAACCCGTTTCGAATAAAATTAGTCAGACCTGCGGTGCTCTCCTCATTAGACCTTGGTGAGGACCTCCTTCATGTCATTGTTAGCGGCTACCCCAAATAAACGATCACACTGCAAGACCAATATAACGTAGAAACGTCATGCCTATTTTATTTCATTCCGCCTAAAATGTATATTTTAAGATAACATTCCAACAAAAGTTATTGAAAGGAACTGGTTCTTGTTGCAATTCTACACTTAGTTAAGGCTCTAATCAACTTCAAAAGGCGCAAAGAATAACGGTTATTTCTATGTTTGAGTTTTCAGGAAACCTTAACCTTTCTGTCAATTAATTTGCCTGATTTTTCTTCAACTCCTTATGTTTCTTTTGATTTTTTGGATTATTCCTATAAAGAGTAGCCTCATATTTCCTCCTGTCCTTGTTATTCTGCACTTGATGTCGTTTCCTGTACATGTCCTGTTGCCTCTGCGCACGGTAAATCGTATAACAACAAGCAGGAGTACAAGATGGTGCACAGATTGCTCCACACGGCGCAGTACATTGAGCCAGGGGTGAATAGGGTAAGTTTTTAGCGGACGCTTCAAAAGAATATCCGACTGATGCTACTGAGGTCGAGGTTATCGTCGTGCAGCAATTTGGTGTACAGGTTGGACTACACGTCACATTGCACCCGGGGGAACAAAGCCAGGATGACACTTGTTTGTGATCGGGATCAGGGTTGTATGGGTTACCGTAAGAAGTTAAATGAAGAGGAGTTGGCCCAAAGACCTGTTCATAGCAACCTGCAAAATTAGTAATTGCGTATCAAAGGACCTACAGTTGCCATATTGAAACACCTTAATCGATTGATCAACTCCTCCTTAATGTAATGACGGTGATCCAGAGGTAAAATCATCAATTTATCATAAATCTTAATAACTATATGGATATTATCACTTTTTACTAGCTTACTTTGGGTTTGTATTCATAAGGAGTGCCAAGAAATGAGATGTGACACAATACGAAGCTGTCTTACCACAGTCTCCTACTGCTGGGAATACTTTTAATCGGCCAAACTTCTGTGTGCTCATCTTTTTTACGAGAGCTTTCAAATGCTTGGTTTTGTTTTTGAACTTGAGAAGTATCCTTGAAACTACTTTCATTTCAAAGCCAGAACTAAACGAAAGCAAAAAAGAAAACAAAAACGACTAATAGTCAAGCAAACAATAAGATTCCACATATCAAAAAAGATTGCGGAGAATTCAATGGCTCATTAGTGGTGTCTAGATTAAGAACTGTAAATAAAAACTCCAGATTAAAATGTGTTTCCAGATCTATCGTTTTATCAGGTTATTCGGACTCTCCAAAGTTTGTAAATATTCATAAACCCTGAAGAATTTATCACTGCTCGAAACCGTCGCTATCAAGTTTGCAGCTGATTTACCGGAATAGATGGTTCAGAGGAGATTCATAAGAAAATGATTGCAATGCCAATTCAGATTGACGCACAGAATAAGTTGTCATAAAATTCAGTTTATCTGCGTGGAAATCCACAACACGAAGTCCTCGAATTCAATTGAGTCTGAGCCTTCTGGAGAAGTAGTTTGAAATTGCCAAAATCCGCACAGTATTTCATTTGCTTACCTAAACCTGAGAACTTGCACCTCCTGAAATTGTTCGTCGCCGTCATACGCTTGTAGAATCTAAAAATTAGTTATAGGTCCACTTCGATGTTTGAAGTTAGTGAATTGTCTTTATACCATGTGAATTAGAAGAACTGACACTAACAAACAACTAACAAATTCTCTCACTGACAAGGTGACAGCCTGACAAGCCGACTAAATCAACGACAGGCCGACTGACCGACTACCCGACAGACTGTCTGACTGATTGACTGGCTAACTGATGAGCGACCGAAAGACTGATTGAACGATCGACTGGCTGGCTGAGTGTCTGACTTCTTGACTGACTGACTGACTGACTGACCGACCAGACGACCAATCGAATGATTGACCGTTCTTCCGTGGTAATAAACTTACTCTGACAAACTGATTAGCTAGTCCAATGGCTGTCTAAGTGCATACCATTAGCCAGTAGGAAAACTATCTATCTTATGGTTGTCTGAGGCTGCTAAGTTATCGGATTAGCTTACTAACAAACGTTACACGAATTTTCGTCAGAGGTAATTTGGTATTTAGCATCGAACCAAAACAAGAGAAGGCAAGGTACTCAAATTTCCAAAAACGATTGTAAACAAAAAGGAAAGATATGAGACTACATTGACTGAAATTTAGAACAGATACATACCCCTAACTCAATATTTCGCCTGTAGTCCATAAATTCGAAAGACTGATAGTTCTCTAATTCGGCAGTGTACCTTACATCATCCAAAAGAATCGTCAGCCTGTAAGAAGAGCCTGTGAGGTACATTAAAATATATCAGTAAATTAAATTTAAATTTTCATTTTGCATAGACGAAAACCACAATCAAACGTGTGTATACTTAAAAAATAATATAAAAAATCTGTACTTAAAGAATACAGCCATCCAACAGTATCAAAAGGCATTCCTCCATGAAAAGAAGGAAAATCACTAAATATGATTTCAGATAAGGCGCAGTTAAAATAAATAAAAAACATGACCGATAGTCTTCGCACTGCACATGATGTTAAGAGTAATGAAGTTCACAAAGTAACAAGACTGCGATTCGTCCAGCCAGTCTGATTTGATATCTCCGCACTGTCACTATTTTGTTCTCTATTCTAAATACATTTAACTAATAAATGCTAAGTACGTACATTTAAGCTCCAGTATGCTTGACTGGGAGGACTTAGCAATTTTCAGAACTTTTTTCCGCATCATTTTTTCACTGGCAGCTTTTCGCCAGGATTTTTCCATGTTAGACTTACGACGTTTACCGGATGCTTAAAAAAAGTGAGATCACTGTTATTGATATAAATATTGATGGAGGCTAACTAAGAAACATAATTCAATTCATTCAATTGGAAGACTACAAATCTTGGTTGACGGTTCGTTACTTTTCAATCCCGACCGTGTAGTATTCTTGAGGAAAAACTCACTCATTTAATGTCTAGAAGGCCCAATTTCCATGGTTTTCCCGCGTCCAGTGCAGCACTTCCTCGGGTTGTCAAGCACCGACGTAGCAAGGATTTTTCAAAAGGGGGTCAAACCGTGACGATTGTCATGATAACCTCCACGCCGTGTTTTATTTAAAATGCGAGAAGAGGTGGGGGGGAGGGGGGGGGAGGGGGTACTGGCACCCAAGGCCCCAGCTACGCCCTTGTCGGGTCAGCATAACTTCTAAAAGCGTCTGGAAAGATTATATTAGTCAGGTCATGGAAATTTTTACTTATGTGGTTGCATTAAGAGATTTAGTCAGATTTAGTTAGGGCGTAGCAACTGAGCTAAACACTGTCTCGCCATGGGATCTGTCAAAAATTGTCGATGAGCGGTATCATTAGTTTCATACTAGGAGTTCTCCCTCTAGCGAAGCCCAAAATCAAACAACCAAAAAAATAATTATTTGTTTCTTGTTGGTGAAGCTCACCTGTCATTTTGAAAACAAAAATCGTTTTTTCCTCTCCAACACAAAGTTCTGATTTGTCCTGACAAATGCCGAAGTTTTTAGTGGTGCATTGACTGCTTAAGAAAGACTCACTAAAGGTTGGTACATGATCATCAGTCGAATAGCATTCTCCTAAGGTAAGACAACAGCGATTTATAAGCATCTCGGGTAAAGAACACTTAACAGCATCAATATATTGAATTACAGTAGGGAATGGAACGATACTAGACTTAGATCAAATAAGACAGACCACCGTCACAAAGCCCGCTAATGTGATAGAACTTCAGCTCATTTAGAGAAACTATAAAGTTATCTGAAAAAATTGGTTTAAGTTATCGAGTAAACACAGAAGAAATAATCTAAAACAAATTTGATCGAAGAAGTTAGCCTCGCGTTTCTTATGTTCTACCAAATCTGAGATGCTTACCATAATTCTGCAATCCAAACGCAACATATCCCTTTACCTTTGTTGCCTTTGCACATCTACACGCCAAATCTGGAAGGTAGATGTTAAATTCTTGGAAAGCGTAATTAATACCACTCCAAAACTTAGAAGACGTGTCACGGTCTGTAAAGAGTACATCAGACATAGGACGGCGCTCTCCAACCGTCTGTTTGTAGCACCCTATTCTTTCGAAAAGTATGTCGTCACATGTTTGAGCTGTCAAAAGAAAATCATATTTAGTCGATACAACATTCAGCGAGGAATGTTTATTTCAACGAACATAGCTTACAGTTAACAGTTGTTCTGACTCCATAGTAGTTCTGTTTTTCAAATTTGTGGCCAGCGTGATCTTTCTGATACACATGCATCTCTTTACCTTGTGCTTGCAATGAGATTAAAGAAATCGAGTTGATTATAAAAACTATTCCAATGTTGAACAGCTTTTCATGACCGGGCACCATGCCTTGAAAGACCTGTGAAAGAAAGTTCCTCGCTTGAATTTGTTTGACATGGATATAACATAAAATTTATAAGTTCGATGGAAATGACGAGGAAGCGCCTCTTCTTCTGTTCCGACAGCATTTTGCAAACATTGTTGAGGTTTTCTAATAAGCAGTCTTAATTAAATATACTGTCACAAGAGCTGAAATTATTTCAATAACGAACAAGGAGAAAATAATAAAAACCCGTTATAAGCAAGGCTTAAGTTCTTACGCTTACGGCGTTAGTGATATAAAACATGCCAAAGAAATCTTCAAAAATCAGACCATAATATGATGTCCTCCTACAAACCTTAGCAGATAAGAAAATTAAGCGACAATGATCAAGCTCCTGATGAGCTTTGTCGAGCCGGTGTTTCAAACTATCGATCAATTTGAACGAAGTCTCTGTTAATTAAGCGTAAGATTCCTAATCTTAGGTGTTCGTTTTGTACCATTGTCTTGATTTTCATCGATGACTGAACATTTAGTTTAAATTCCTAAATGTAGCCCACCCACTGACCCTACTCAATGAGTTTAAATTGATATGCACGTCATCAGACACTCAACTCATCTTACCTTTAAATTGGACAAAATCTCAATATTTTTCTGGTACCGATATTTCATTTGTATCTTGCATCTCAACCCAGAGAGAGGAAGATAAATACAATGGCACCATTACTTGATCTGGAAACATTGTTGATCTTATGTCGGCTATTTGATTGATATGAATTTTAATTCATGCTAATATTTCATATGACGAAAAAAGGGGAAAAATGTCAACCAGTTCTATATTAGTAAACTCTCTTGTACATAATATGGCTACCAGTATGTTTTGAAATCCAAGCAAATTGAGAGGTAGATCAAGCGGTTGTATTTAAACTTAATAGGAAATGGGGAAGTTGCCAATTCGTAAAACAAGTTGTAAGCTGAACTATTTTACGCAAGTTTTCACTTCTGGCGGAGAAATTTCTCGTCAAAAATAGGATCATTTTGTTTAGATGGGTCTCCTTTGAGGTTCTCTATTGAGATATAAAATACATTTTATTGACACCGGCACCTGCCGAAATATGCAAATTATTACTAACCTACAGCTCCACTGTGACTCAAAGCTGTGCACACAATGAAACCCACGTTATCTAATGCAATGATTGAACCATTCTGGCAGTTGAAATCGGATTTTATTTCACTACTCAGTCTATACAATTCTACAATCGCTAAATTCCATTCTTGAGCTCTAAGGCTGGATAAAATCTGTATAGTTTGTACAGGATCATTGACGAGTGATGTCGACTCTGTTGAACAATGATAGTGAACTTTTCGACTGGTAGATTTATTTTGGTCAAAACTACACCAATAGACAACACTATTTAACAAGTATTCACCACCCGAGTCATAGTGACTGCGAAGGGAATCACTCGAAGGTCATTTTAATTTAGATATGACTCATCCTCATTCAGCTGTCGAGGAGAGCTTATCTCCACAACCATCATAATAGTTGTATTTTATATGATTTACAGGAGAAACCATGTCTAAGAGATTAGTCTTCTTGAGCAGTCACTTAAGTCAGTTTACACTAATCAATTTTTTTGCGTCCAGGCTAAGTTTAGTTTGTAATGAAACAAATAGTTAGTGTTAATTTTGGTTGATGAATCGAACAGAGCATTCTGAACACAACGTTGACGACAAACTAATTGTTCTGTGGAAAACTATTTAAACGTTTCTATTTTGAATCAAGTTTTTTTTTTGTTCGACTCTTTCTTTAGTACCACAAAATTACTCCGGAACGTCCGTTCACAAATAGTTGAATCTGGTAACAAAAATGCCGTCTTAAGAGAGATCGTTACCTTATTTAGGCGGGAGAAAGTAAAATTGATATGTGGAAGGGACTCGTTACCTTAAGTCCTCTACAGATGGTGCTAGCCTTCGAAAACTGGTCAGATAGTAGAAGAGTGACTGTAATAATTATTGTCTACCTACGTTACGTCTGAACATGCCAGACAAAGACCTACTAATGTTTCTCCTCCTGGAGAGCCTCTTTCTTTAAGGTTTTTTTAATATCTTCATTTCGTTTAGAGTTATAAAACTGGCAACAGATTGGTGAGCATATTGGTGCACAGCTTGGAGAGCACCTCGAAGAACATTGGGAACCGGGCCAGCTCAATGGCTGTGACATCGGATACGGAGCTCGTGGCGGGGGAATGGTGGCTTGGCCGGTTATTTGTATATTCCATTGTCGCTGCGGAGGTTGATAAACTTGAGGGCTGGGCGCCATAATTGCAACAGGCTGTGGTGGCGGGGGAGGTGGAGGGGGCAAGGGTACAGGAGCGGGCTGATAAACTGGTTGAGGCGCGGCTGGGGCAGAAACGGACGGTTGACAACAAGAATGAAGACATGCGGGTGCACAAGTCGATGGACAGGAACTGGGACATTGGGTGATTGGAGTATCTGGGTAACAGCCTAAATTTGACGAGACATTTAACGTTATTTAAGATCTAAAACGGATCTATCCGATGCACTTTATATTAGGACCGGACGTGAATACCATTTTATACATTTTCTCAGGCACAAACTCTCCGCTCCCTCTGAATCTTGTACTACCTTGAGGACCATTTCAAATTCTGGGCTTGTAACAAGATCTCTTTCATGTTTTATTTTTGTTATGGATCGAGAGGTCTGTTCAAAATAGTTCGATCATCATAAACCTTTTCAAATTAACTCAATGTGCACACTCCCTGAAGAGAATCATAGAATATATTGTTGACAACAGACCGAGAAATAATTTAAGTTAGAATTTGCGTTACCTGCTGCTGAAACATTTCCTGGTCCAAGACCATCCAGCAGTTTTCCAATGAATTTTCCATTCGCTCTGAATCGTAGGAGAAAATAAGCCTTTACTCCGCTTGGTTCCTCTGAAGAA